AGGTGATTATGATAAAATTAACAAGTTCTAACTTCCAAGCAACAACTTGAAGTTAGTCTCCAGTCAGAATCTGATCAATGTTAGACGTGTTTACAACTGGAGAAAGGGGATGCTTTTGCTTCCGAAGCAAAAGCATTCATTGAGTTATCAGACTGCATGAATTGTCATGACATACAAAAAATCAGATGATCATTGATCAATTACTAAGGTGACCTTGAGAGAATATTGATGTAATGTTGTAATTTTATAGAAGAGGATTCTTCTTCAAGTGAATGAGTCTGAGAAACAAGTAATGGCATTATATTTGTCTCTATGGCCGGCCAACTCCTCTGGCCAATGAAGTTCCCCTTAGCCATGGAGCTACCTCCATGCCTTAGCCGATTGCTACTATTTATTTAGCCTGCAAAGGAGTCTGGTGGAGACTACATTACATGTATATTGGTGTGGCCTAACAGTTGTATATATTTATTATACAGTCATTCCTGCCAAAATTTCTAGGAAGGATTCTATCTGCAGGAATCTGAATGTCTTAGTAGGTTTTTCCTGCAGAAATTTCCTGCAGGAAGAAAATTTTCAAAATTAATTTCCATGCATGTTATCATTCATACCTGTCCAATTATCAAATTAGAGAGTCTGGTCGGGCTACTAGTACCCAGACAAGGGTGACATGGTCTTTGCAGCTTGCACTGGGTAGCTCAATAGCCCGAAAAAATATCCAATCAGAAACTTGACCTTATGACATTTGTATATAATGACAGTGTCAGATGGCCTGGGTTCACACGTTGAGAACCATGTCTTGGCCAAATCTTTCTATCCCTCAACTAGTTTGTAGTATTATGATTAGATTAGATTTAGATTATGAACAAGAAATTAATGATGAGAATCCTAGTTTTATTTTTTAAGATAGTCGGTCATCTTTTCAGGCTCCTACTGGGTGACCCAGTAGTCAAGCTGCCCAGATAGGGGTACTGTAATTCGACGTGTAACTCAACAATAGTCCAACTTGATAATTGGACAGTGGCATTTGCATGTCAAGAACAATAGCTAAACTTAGTTTCATCCCGCATAACAATTGTTCCTTGATCAGAATAATTACCTGAGAACTGTTGAACCATGGTTGAACAGAAATGGACTGAGGATTTTATAACTCCATTGCTTGAAAGCAGGTTTAAGTTGCAATGCATGTATTAGGCTTCTTGCTCATATTATATAGTACTAGAATTTTGTCTGGCAAAACTGTCTGTAACATAATTTTCCCAATGTTTCAACTGAACTGAACTGAACTTCAATGACATTCAGGATGCTCATGAGAAAAAAATTGTTTCATTTTCTACCCCTAGCTGGTACAGAACGTGTTTGTAAGCTCTTCTTCTTTTTTGTGGTCTACATGTAGTGGAAAGAGCATGCGAAGCTGAGTGATTGAGTGAGTGAATGAGGTTGAAAGCGGCAAAAATGTACAACACTGTTAACAGATGGGTGTGGATTATGCTCTCCTTCTTTATTTTCTGCTCTGAGAATGAAGTTTTACACATCACTTGGATCAGACCGCGGGCTGAGATGTAGTCCGTGAGGTCTGAATCCTTACCCCACCAGGCTGAAATTGGCACAGACAGTCTGCAAACATCAATCAATTCACGCCTTCCATGCCATTGTTTTGGGCTTTTTGCACCTCTTTGACCAGAAATTCCAGACCGCGGGCTGAAGTTAGGCTGACGGTCTGAATGGTTTTTGAGTAAATCAGCCCGCGGGCTGGGATTCTACACCTGTAGTCTAGTGCCTTTAGACCGAAGGTCCTGTAATTAAAACTTGCGGGCTAGTTGTTAGGCCTGACGGGCTGTTAGGAAAGACCACCGGTCTGCTTGTATTTATTATTAATGATATCTTAAGTTATGAACACTGCAGAACAATAATTTTCATATCACTGTGCTCATTACACCAAGAGCTACACACTGATGTGAAACTTGAATGTTGAAAATCAATTTTTACTTGAGTTTCCAAATGCCTTGTGACTTTCCAAAATTGATGCGACCAGTGTTAGCTTATGCTAAGCCCTCCTCCTCTATACTAACCAAAAGTAAACATAATTGAATTGAAATAAGGCATACATACATAAGGAATTGTTATCAAAATAATTCAAACATGGGCAAAATGATACAATAACAATAATGAAACAGTAGTATACATAAATTGAGATGAAATGAAATTGATATGAAATAAACAATAACAATGATTGAAACAATAGTGTACATAAAAAATAATGATAACTGAAGATATGAATCTAATACAAGGGGCTGGGGTGGTTTATAAGATGGGCTTTCAGGGTATTTTTAAAAGTCAGAAAAGAAGAAATTGTTTGTATGTTTGTCTGAAGGCTGTTCCATAATGAGACACATTGTGAGGATTGTGCTAAATTGACGTTATTCAGTTATTTACTTTAATTCCTGATTCTTTTCATCATGGTACTGTTAAAACTTATGTTCACTGTTTTCAATGTCACTTCTGTATCGTGAACTTATCATTAGGCCATGGAAAAAATGTTGAGTTTCCCGTTTTCGTCCGAATGCACATACTTTTTCTATTGTGCGGACATTATTAACAAATATACATTGCATACAACAACTGTTTTCACATAATCATGAATCTGCCTGTTAGTAGTGCCAGTGAGATGTTTGTTTCTAACCTGACTGATACATGTACAAATGTACACATGTCACAGGGGAGATTGGAATCCAGGGGGATCCGGAATCCTCCTAGGGGAGATTGGAATCCCTATCTCCCCTAGGAGAATCTGGAATCCTCCTAGGAGAGATTGGAATCCCTATCTCCCCTAGGGGAGATTGGAATCCCTATCTCCCCTAGGGGAATCTGGAATCCTCCTAGGAGAGATTGGAACCTTTCAATCAACTTCAGCATAGGCAAGCCTATTACTAGTACTATTGTAGGTGAATTACTAGATTGGAATCAAGATTTGTCCTGGCATATTTTGTAGTTCTAAGTCCATAATTGAAATCTTTCCTAACTTAGACCCAAATCTATTTCCAACTGGAAAAACTGTTTTTTGAGTCACTATCTCACAATGGCCTGATGCACATATCTGAGTCTGATTTACATATTCACTTACCTATGCTGAAATTGATTGAAACTTTAGGTGTGAAATAACTCAGTCTATTTTCCCAAGAATTTTGATGCAATCAGAATTTCTCCTTTTAAAATTGGAGATTGTCCTGTTAGAATTCCCACTAGTACTTGTCCTAGGCCAAATTGGAATCCCTATCTCCCCTAGGAGAATCTGGAATCCTCCTAGGAGAGATTGGAATTCAGACATTCATATCCCAGTTTTGTACCAAAAAAACTTGAATTCCAGTCTCCCCTAGGGGAGATAGGGATTCCAATCTCCCCTAGGAGGATTCCAGATCCCCCTGGATTCCAATCTCCCCTGTGACATACATATATGCCTTTGATGCCAGATGCCTCAACAGGGCTATAATTCTTTTCTTTGTTCAGTTTGCTGTCTTTTCCACGAATCTAAAACCAATTTGTTCAGTCTGCCTTCTAATATGTTCTATCGCAGCTCATACTTCCACAAATTAAACCTCTGGAAACATCTGATATACAAATGTATACAAGTAGGGTTTGTTTTTTTTGTGTTCTGTATGTATTTAGGTTTGTTCCTGTACAGTCTAACTATGGGCTAGTGAGAGACGGAAACAAAATCCATGTAAATAAAAAACTAATCCTGTACTCCCCAGATCCCCCTCCCCCCGGTGTACCTGACCATGATGGCAGTTTTCTTCCTGACTGGATGTCTGTGGATTCATGTACTCAGGAAGAGGAAGTAAGTTCTACAAGAAACAGTTTATTCCCAGATTAGGCCACACCAATTTAATTTGTTGTTTCTCGGATTTAAAAAAAAAAAATATGAAGTGACAAGGCGAAATAAAAATTTAAAAAAAAACAGGCCAAGGCACTCCATGATAGCCGGAAATGTTACAATATGACCATGAAGTGAACGTACCAGGCTGGTTTGTAATTAAAACAATTTAGATTTTGAATTTTGAATGAAACAAAATTGCATTGTAACATTGAAAAACTTTAAGAACTGGGAAGAAAAGGACTTTCTTCAACCGTTGGGCCCAAAATATGTCTTTCATTGAGCATTTTGCAGTTAATTTAGAACCAAAAGTTTTTTTTTTTTTGCAAATCAGAAAAAAATGGACAGGGCGATCTGAGAAGCAACAAATGAAATTGGCGTGGCCTTACAATGTATCTCTTCTAAATCTAAGTACTGTAAAATCAGAGAAATTTTTGCGGTGGTTTTATTTTTGCAGTTTCACTGAATTTTTGATACCACAAATACATCTTTCTTGTATTTGTATGACTAAGGCCATGCTGACTTGATTATATGGATGACATCCTCCGGGAGCCCCAAAACTGATGCGCGCGTGCGAATAAAAAAAAAGTTTTGCAAAAAAAAAGTTCTTTTCATTATGAAATCTACGTGGTCATGAGGGTTGAGCAAATGGCACAGAATATGGTTTGGCAAATAATCTAGTCTTCAAGTTCATTTCTTTACAATTTCGTCTTTTTTCCTTTGATTTTGGCATTCTACGACATTGGTATAGTTTTTATTAATTACTTTTGTAACTTATGGTATATTTTTGCTCATTTTGCAACTGTTTTGTACGATTTACAGTATGGTTGAAAACTTTTTTTTTTTTGGAAACGGCCGAAAATTCATGCGCGCGCGGATGTCATCCATATAATCAAATCAACATGGCCTTACCGTAGCTAAAATGTACTGCATCATACATGTATAATAGTCTGTACAACAAAATTGTCTTATGAGCAAATTTCAAACCTCACTTTCCCTAATACCACAAATTAATGTGAGCACTGCAAAATGAAATACATTGACAGACATGCAGAGTAATTGTCAGTACTTTTTAATGCGGACCAAAATGAGATCTTTTCTCTTGAAGTTTTGGAAATCAGGCTATTCAATACAGAAAGACATGCACAGCATTGTCTCCAAGCTCTGTCACATCTATGACTTAAATTTTTGTTTCTAACTAAAGGATCTGCTATGATTGCCAAAAAAAGGCTAACACTAGTAAGGCCACACCAATTTAATTTGTTGGTTCTCGGATTTTGTCAGAAAAAACATGAAGCGACAGGGCGAAAAAAATAAAATAAAAACAGGTTTAGGCATCCTATTATAGCCCCAAATGCTATGATAGGAGCCATGAAGTCAACACAAAAGGTTGTGTTAATATTTAAACAATGAATTTTGAACTTTTAATCAAACCACTGCATTGATAGATGGAAACACTGCAACAGCTAGGAAGAAAAGGACTTTCCACAACTGTTGGGGGCAAAATTTGAGCATTTTTGAGTTGATTCAGAACCAGAATCTTTTTTTTTTGCAAATCAGAAAAAAATGAAGAGGCGAATCCGAGAACCAACTGTTAAATTGGTGTGGCCTAACAGTGTGATTGATGTAAAGCAATAAACCAATCACATAGCTCCACAACACCCTCCTCTCTCATTGGTGAAATTTCAAATTCCTATGCTATCATTGGTCTGACTACTGCTAATTGTAATATTGATAGTTGATATTGATAATTCTGCTACCCACACTGATTGGTCAGGGCTAGAATTTAAATATCAGCTGCATACAGCTGCACACATATTTGATATGTGGGTACCTTAAAGAATGCTTGACATATGAAAATGATAGTTATGCAAATCAGCATAATTAATGAGAAAATGCTATAAATCTGCTACCTTCCATGATATGATTATTCAAACGTGTGGCATGTGTAATTGTGAAGAAGGAGAACATTGGCAGGTAGTGTTTATGCAAATGAATGCCTAATTTGCATAATTAATGTGAACCGTCAACATTCGTCAAGGCCTAAGGGTAACATCATTTGGCGAAGGTATGAGATCGTGGAACTCTAGTTTCTCATGTAGTTTTCTTTACCAAATAAAGTAATTTGATCCCTGTGATGTATACTAACACATACATGTATATGTTCATCCCAGGGGAGATGTGTTCAAGATACATTACCTGATGGCAGCTCTGGTCATGGTCAAGGCCATATCACTCATGTTCCACGCAGTACGTATCAAATATTCATGATGACTGCACTTCTTATCATATCTATCATTGTCAAGATACCCATCCGCATTATGTGCAAAATACACATGATTTTTAAGAATTGCACTTTTGAATGTGCAATTTTGTACCTAGAGCAGGAGGAGAGGGGGGCATTGCAGGCAAAGAAGCAAAAATAACTTGGGATTTGGCACTCCCAGTCCCAAGGACAGACAACACTTGTGAAACAACAGGAGGTTCTTCAAATTTTCAAGATTTGTCAAATTTCACCTAAAATTTTCCCAATGTGCAATTTTGCGCATACCTGAAAGAAAGTATTTCGAGCCCTGAGATTGTGAAGATAAGTTTTACTCAGAGTCTTTTCCAAGTCTGTATGTTTTTTTTTTTATCCGAATTTAATGTCTTTTTTTGAAGCACGATTTTTTACAGCTGGATGCCCTTCCTAATGCCAACCCAAACCCTAGTACTAGTAGGGCCCAGGATCCCTCTAACTGAGGGGGGAAATACGTGTTAAGTGCCTTTCCCAAGGGCACAATGTCTGGGTGTAAGTTCGGACATGTCTGGGTCCAACCCTGGGGATTGAACCTGGGTCTCCTTGCTTTCCAGACAGTCGGACGCTCTATCCACTACACCACACAGACGCCATGTGGTTTTTATATATTTATTGGATTATGGTACATTGTAATAAATTAATGCATGTTCATTAGGTCGAGGACAAAATGTGTTTCCGATTAACCAAACAACCCTAGCAAAAAAATTCTGGCTCTTGTGCATCGTGTCCTAAAGACATGGCCACAGCAGGAGACTAAAATTCTCCCTGAAACATGTTAAAGCTCATAACCCCCTGATGCACTATTTTCTGCTTATTGAGGAAAACATTTTTTAAAGTTATGTTTTCCCTCTGTTTTCCTTCATTCTAAAGTCAATTTTTCACGTTTAAAAAGATTTATGAAGTGTCACAGGGTTCTCCCTAAAAAAACAGCCCAACACTGGTTGAAAGACAGTGTAGGGGTCAAAATCACAGCGTAGTTCTCACTAGGCTGTTTCAGTTTAGAACATTCTGACCCTTCATAAATCTTAAAAAAAAGAAAATTTTGGCAACAAAATGAAGCTAGTATAACATTAACAGATTACAAATTTTGTCCCAGGCCTCAATAAGCAAGAAATAGGTTCTCGGGGTTATAGTTATGTTTACCGAAGGAAAACATATTGTTTTTGCTCTGTTTCTCCCTCTTCTTCTTCTTCTCCTCCAAACAGTGACCTCTGACCTGACCAATGACATGATTTGTTGATGTCTGTCACCATGGTGACTGGTGTTGGGTTACATAATGTTGCAATTTCATGGTCTGCTCTGCTCCTGTCACCATTTACTAGTAGTACATGTGTGTGAATGTGTTTGAGTAAGAATTAACAGAGCAGACCATGTCTGAAGGTAAACATTATGCATTTGCTTTGCAAATGTTACTTCTCTAGTTTATAATGAGAATGCTGGGGCCTCTACAGTACGTATATGCTCAAACAGTGTAGTGAGAACTTATGTATGATTGTCTTTGTGACAGGTGAACTATCACTTCATTGCTGTTGAAGGATCACCAGAGGAGGCCTGGGCTGTCCTGTACTACATTGTGTACCTGTGAGTACTTTCTCTGTACAAACTGCATATGTCAGTCTGGGTTTTGGGGAGAGAGGAGGGGGGGGAGGAGGAGAGTAGAAAGAGAGAGAGACTAAAGAGAGAGAGAGAGAGAGAGAGGGAGGAGAGATAGAAAAGAGAGAGAGACTAAAGAGAGAGAGGGAGGGAGGAGAGATAGAAAAGAGAGACTAAAGAGAGAGAGAAAGAGAGGGGTAGGAGAGATAGAAAAGAGAGAGACTAAAGAGAGAGAAAGAGAGGGGTAGGAGGGATAGAAAAGAGAGAGAGACTAAAGAGAGAGAAAGAGAGGGGTAGGAGAGATAGAAAAGAGATAGAGAAAGAGAGGGGTAGGAGAGATAGAAAAGAGAGAGAGACTAGAGAGAGAGAGAGAGAGAAATGGTATATATTAAAAATGCTTGTAGCACTTTAGTGGCTGTGTTGTACTTCGTACAGTGTTTTTTTAACAAAGCAGACATTTTTTTTAAGTACAACCTTTATTAACTATATCATAAACTATAGTTTCATAACCATGGACATGCAATTATGTTATGAATTCTACCGTTCTAGTTTTACACAGTATACATTGTAGTAGGGTATTTACGTGTACTATTCCTAAACTGAACAGTCCTGAATGTACTGGGTGACATAGTAATCGTATAGTTAGGGGAGCTATGTACTGTTGTATGTCTGGAATTTTACAAGGTACAAGCAAAAAAGTACATTATACACAAGTGTACAAATGTATATAGTTTTAGCACTCTTTGTAAAGCTACATGTACAGACCAATTATTGGTGATCATTTTCACTGTTTAGCAAATCGTTGCTTGATTGATGCGTTAATTCATTAACCTGAAAATTACCTCAGACTGCACTTCTTTGTAGTAACTATCAAGAGAATCTTTCTCCAATTGTATAAGATGGTACTGTAAATCACTTAATGTTTGCGGTAGCAAAAGTTTCTATTCTGAGAAAATTGGACATTTTCGTGGAACTATACAAATTTAATGTACTTTCGTGCTGGTGTCATGTGCAGCAAAAAGAAAGTCGGCAAATTATTTGATCACAGTATTGACTGCAAAATCCACAATATAAAACAGAAATGACTGCAAAAAACACGATATAAAAGAAGTTGAAAGTCTTTCCTGGTTGTGAAAAAAAAATTCCACAAATTTAAAAGTACCGCAAAAAAAGGTGATTTACAGTAAGCACTGTAGTTTGTGTCTTCTTGTCCTTGTGTCCAGGTCTCTTTGTCGGTGCTCAGTCTCTCCCCAGTCATGTGGGTCTTCTAACCTCCTGTGTCCTCTTTGTTGTGTTTTCTCTGGTGCAACAATGAACAAATTACCAAACTAACAGAAACTAAACTCTCTTGAGAAAAAAAAAACTTTGTTTCTCTCTTGTAGATGACTGGAAACCACTGCTAGGTTCTTTGTCAGAAAAATCTGTGTTCCTCCAATCACCTCCTGTAGATTTAAACCAATCACAGCCCATCCAATCAAAATGACTTTTACAGATTGCGGGGATGTGTCCTCTTCATCACGATCGTTCTGATTGGCACAGGCTGGGCCTTCGTCAAACACATCCTTTCCGACAAGGACAAGAAAATCTTCATGTTTATAATTCCGCTGCAGGTGAGAATATTTTTCTTCCTCCTCTCTTTTTTTTTTCTGTTCGCCGTTGTAGGACGAGAAGCCTTCTGCTGCTCATTTCGATTGTGCTGATTGGTACGGGGCTGACGTTCCATAACCATATCCTCCCCGCGGACAGTCGGAACGTCCGCGCCCTGTGTCTGCTCGTACTGCCGCTGCAGGTAAGTAGTGGTGCCTGAAGGACACTGTAGCCCTCTATTACCATATCAGGGCTGGAAATATTGGGTGCATGTGCACCTTAGTGCACCCAAAATTGGAGCTGTGCATTTTTTTCTGTGAGTGCACTGGTGTACCCAAGTATTTTTGTAGGTACCTTGTACTTATCAAATATAATATAAGAGTATGCAGCCGTATTCTTGGCATCTAAGGGTCAGAAAAATAATGAAATCTTTGTTGTAGTACTTGTTTAAGATTTTGAAGTTAGCTCCTATTTCAGATTCCAGCTTAGAAGAGGAGCAGTAAGATCTGTATTAACTTAAGTTTTATTTTATATGGTGCACCCAAAAAATTTTTGTGCACCTAATTTTTTAGGTTGGGTGCACCAGTGCACCTATTCCCAAAAATTTATTTCGAGCCTTGCTATATGCAGGGCTCTAATTTTTGTTTTTTTTTGTTAGGCCACGCTGATTTAATTTTATGGATGACATCAATGATTTTTGCCTGTTCTCAAAGAAAAATCACCTCTGGCCTTGGTGCCATTGTCTGGTAGCTCCAGCATGTGCTGGCTTGTTGTATGTTGCTATGTAATACTCTAAAATTCTTTTATTTATTTAATAATATGAAGATTTACCACAGGAATTGACATACTAGTAACAGATGACTATAACCAATAATGTGCTCAAGGTGTGGCTGTCCTCAAACACGTGATCTCCACTTTTACATACCATCTGAGAGGACGTTCCTAACTGAAGCTATGGGTACTCATTTTCAGTCAAGTTAGGACATACGTTTGAAGTGCCTTTCCCTAGGACACAGCAATGGGGCCTGCCAGGGATTCGAACCCAGAACCTTCAGATTCTGAGTCAACAACTCTGACCACAAGGACACCTTTTGTTATACGCCGCATGACGTTTTACTGCTGCTTTTTCCTCTCCCAAGTTCTGGTGTTAAGTGCCTTTCCCAAGGATACAACAATGGGGCCTGCCAGGGATTTGAACCCAGAACCTTCAGATTCTGAGTCAACAACTCTAACCACAAGACCACCTTGTGTTATACGCCTCATGACATTTAACTGCTGCTCTTTTCCTCTCAGGTTCTGGCCAATGTTGCCAGGGATTCGAACCCAGAACCTTCAGATTCTGAGTCAACAACCCTAACCATAAGACCACCTTGTGTTGCATGCCACATGATATTTTACTACTGCTCTCTCCCTCCCAGGTGCTGGCCAATATTGCCAGGGATTCGAACCCAGAACCTTCAGATTCACCCTAACTACAAGACCACCTTGTGTTGTACTCCACATGACGTTGTACTGTTGCTCTCCCTTCCAGGTTCTGGCCAACGTTGCCTACATCATCACAGAGTCTACAGAAGAAGGGAACTCTCAGTACCGGCTGTGGCGGGAGGTGTTTATCCTGGTGGACCTGCTGTGCTGTGGAGCTATCCTGTTCCCTGTAGTCTGGTCCATACGACACCTTCAGGAGGCCTCCCAGACTGACGGGAAAGCCGCCATCAGTCTACAGAAGCTGAAGCTCTTCAGGCATTTCTATGTCATGGTGAATAAAGCTCCTGTCACACATTCAGAACCTTGCCCTGTACAAAATGTAGTGTGCATAGTCCAGTGGTTTCAGCCGAACACCAGCCAACCACAGCTAACCTTGCTCCCAGCCAGTAGTAGTCATTTAAGGCCTAGGAAAAAAAAAGGTGTGGTTTCCTGTTTCCTGACCACGCATAGAAAAAACTGCCGGCCCTAGCTTTATGGATGAATCCTGCAAGGGACATAATTTTTCCAGCTGATGAACCTTTTCTAGGTCTATGATCTGGCACCTTAGTGATAAAACAGTTTTCTAATATTAACGTTTAAAATATAAGTGTCCTCATGCAAGTTTTACTTTGTTAAATTGTATTGTTTAAATCGGAATACAAATTGGATCACTTAGATATTGCCAAAGTCTTTTGTTAGTGTTGGGGAGACCATATTGGCTCACTGCATACAATGTCATGTACATGTAGTTCACTTGCAGTAAATGTGTTTCTTTACATTGATCATCTAAGAAACTTTTTTAGACAGAGTGTGTATTCTTTTGTTTTCATGTGTTTGTACAGTGCTACATATGCATGTGCATGCAATCCCTAATAGCCATATTTTTCCTTCCACAGATTGTTTGCTACATATACTTCACAAGAATAATAGTCTACCTGTTGAAGGTGAGTTTTACACCATCTGAGAATTACATGATTGTATGATATTAAAAAAAAGGAAAAAGGTGTGTTTCTTGTTTTCTGCTCGACCCCTAAGCAAAAACAAGCTGACCCTAGCCTTTTTTATCAACCAGTAGTAAGGCTTTAAGATTTTCAATCACATGTAAGACATGTAACATGTACTCTTTGCTGTTGTTACATTAAAAGGTATGATGCTTGTTATTTAACTTGTTGACTGGTTCACATTGCGCAACATAGGTGCTGTGATAGATACATTCCCAAAAATGAAATCTTTGTATATCTACATGGTTACAGGAAACAGTATCTAGTATTTGGGGTTCAATGCATCTATTGCAGCAACACCTGTGCTTTGCAATGTGAACCAGTCAGAATTGCCTTGAGGAAGGTGATCATGACAGATGGTCGTCGGCTGAATAAACTTGGTTGTGTGAAACTTATTCCATCAGTCATGCATATTTTTATAGTAAAAAGTTTAACTTTATTCCAACACACAGTTTACAGAGAGATCAAATTTTCAGCGACCACTGTCGCCTTCATCAGGATAATTAATGACCAATCACTTCACAATGTGATCTCGCGAGAGTTTCGGTTTACAAACATGTGACCTTATTCACACAGTGATGAAGACGACAGTGGTCGCTGAAAATTTGATCTCTCTGTAAACTATGTGTTGGAATAAAGTTCAACTTTTTACTATGATTACTACCAACACAGATGGACTTTCATGATGCATATTTTTACATCGCCCCCTTCCCCACCCCAGATCACAGTGCCGTTCCAGTATGAGTGGCTGGGTCAGTTCTTTGCGGAGCTGGCCACGTACGTGTTCTTTGTCATGACGGGTTACAAGTTCCGCCCCGCCTCCAACAACCCCTACCTACAAGTCTCACAGGAAGACGAGGACATCGAGATGGAAGAAGTGTGAGTAACATCTTCTTATCTTGTCCTGTTATAGATAATGATCTGCCCCCAACTCTAACCCCTCAGGCCACACTGACTTGATTTTATGGATGACATCCTTTTCCCAAAGTATAGTGCGCGTGGGGGAATAAGATAAATTCGAGCCAAAATAAAGGTTGATTAACAACAGAGATACAAAGCAGGTGTTGTGAATTTGCAGTAATGCATAGCGACTGTTACGACAAGCTGGTACATGCTGGTCTTTTGCAGCATTTATGAGTTGGCACTGTACTGAGTTCTGGAGTTCCGTGGAGCGTCGGTAGCCTGGGTGCTGGACGTGTTTTTTTTTTTGAGAACAGGGAAAATCAATGTATGCCCAGATGTCATCCTTAAAATTAAATAGGTGTGGCCTAACCCTTCAAAAATACACAGTATGTATGTAGAGGGGATTCATTCCTCAAGCTAACCAACACCTCACACACAACAGTCGTCCCTCAGTAAGACATCTGGAGCTGAATAGTTCCCATTTAGGACTTTTATTCAGCCTGCCTTCAAAAATAGACAGTTCATCTTAACTTAGTGCTGAGTATGGGCTCTTGCACAGCCCCAAATTTACCTGCACTAAGGTGCATATGCACCCACTATTTGGAACCCCAGTAGTGTACCAAACAATCATGTTGTTTGTTGTTGTTCCCTCTCATAGTGTGACAGAAACAGGCTGGAACGAGGGCGTGGTCAGGGTCAACCAGGGGGGCAAGGTCACCAGCACCCAGGATGGCCTGGCCAATCCCAAGCCACGAGACAACAGCCATGACGCCTAAGCAAGCAGCTGTGTCGTTGGACAGTGTGAGAAAAAAGTGAGAAAGACTTCTTGCCAGGAGATTGCACATTGAGGAAAACTTTAAAATTTGAAGAGAAATTCAAAGGCATCCAAATGCAGTTTTTATGGCTTGGAAACCAGATTTTTCAGTCAATATTCTAGTCACTTATCTACATACTGAGTTAAAACCACACTATCCCAATGTATATTAACCTGCATGGGGCAAAAATTCCCAAAATTCCAACAGAAAATGGTTACTGGAAGGGCCCTTTGCTCATTTCTAGGGTACCACCCATAAAATAAAGAGCTCATCTTGGTGCTTGTTTCTGCACTTTCAAATACCCAAAGTATCAAATGCTGATTGAAATGTGCTAAAAATTAGTAAAATCATAAAGATTCAGAATATTTCCAGTTTTGCTGCTCTGAAATCGCATTGGATGCCTTTAACTTTTCTTACTATATAATATGCCAGTGCAATTTATTCTGTAATATTTAAAGAAGAACCTTATCTACAATGTATATGAGTTGCTAGCCAGACAGAACATTCATTCATATTTCTCATCCATAAACTCTATTCTATTCATTTCACTTTTAGGCCACACCAATTTAATTTCCGCTTCTTTTTTTTTTGATTTGCAAATAAAAATAAAAATTCAGAATCAACTGGTAAATGCTCATATTTTGCCCTGAACAGTTGAAAACAGTCCTTTTCATCCTAGTTGTTACAGTTATTCCATCTTTCAATGCAGTGGTATCATTAAAAGTTCAAAATTCATTGTTTAAA